TCTCTTGCCATCTTATTTTGTACCTTATTCACGGAAACTGCATTTCAGAAGTAGCACAGAAAAGAGTTATTTAGTCACAAACAGTTAAAATAAAATAAATAAATAAAACAGGTATTTCATTCATAAAAAAAAGATGAACACGAAAAAAATACACACACTCAAACTTTTATTTTCTTTCTAGGGTTATCTATAACCTCATCTTTCCATTTCTCTATTGTTTTCTTCTCTTCCATCTAGATTCTAGAAGCATGAATCTGCCACATCTGTAATAATACGTTTCTCCACCTCTTTCTCTCTGTCTGCATTAAATACTTCATAACACAAGCATCCACCTGTTATCTGTAGGCAGAGCACTTGTTCATTACAAAGCTCTGCCTTGAATAAAACATCCCCATCTTTTCTTCTAACATCATTCTGACAGAACTTGAAAAAGACGGTACCCCTCATGTGCTAACTTAAAAGAAACTCTGCGAATCTCCAGCTCTGTTATCCAGTCAAGAGTCCAGATTGACACTGATCAATGTCAAAGAGATGCGTTTAAATCAGACGCCTCCGTTCTGTAAAGTGTCTTTGTGTTGAGGGCGTTTCGAACAACTGCTGCTAACAGGAAATCATTAGTCATTATACAGTAGAGTATAACGGGGCAGACCAATCTGACTCTACTGTCTGTTCTTTTGCTTTTACACAGATGCTTTCAACGATAAAATCAAGAGGCGCGACAGGAGACTGACTGAAACTGTCACTCCTCACTTCAGCTCTCAGATGGCACACAGATTTAATTCAGGTGGACAGAGCAGTAGTGATGTCCGATTTATGAACCAATTGCTATTCTAAAGAAGTTCTTTATAATAATTAAGTTTAGGAAGCAAAATGATATAAATCAATTGAAAGTAAGCAATACTGTAACCTGCAGCATTCAACTAATATTGAAAAAAAGAAACAAAATGGGCAAATGTTTTGAGTGATGACTCAAAGGGGTCAGTTTTGTAGCCGGTTGACTAAAAAACAAACACTATCCGAACAAACTGATCTGATAAAAATGAATCAAACTTCAACTCAACTCAAGAATGACTCAATTAAGTGTGGACAACATTTGAGCTGTAAACTAAAGTAAGTGGTATTCCTAAAGCCTCGGGACTTGCAGCGATAAAACGATGTGGAATCATTCATTTACAACAATAAACGGCAGATTTCAGTAATATAAGCTATAGCGATTGGATGTGGACATGTCCGGCGACTCGAATAGGCTGAGAAAAGTTTAACATTAAGCAAATGCAGAGCAACTACCAATGGGAGTGAAGAGTCATGTGATCAGTCTCCAATTTTTATTATCCTCATAACTTTTTATTTATTTATTCTCAAGCATGCAAGTCATCGTAATGCCAGATTACAACATATAAGATAGCATATGCTTGTTTGTCAAACATGTGACTTCAACTTCAATTTGAATCGTTCGTGCTCCTGTTTAAACTCCAATGAAGGCCGGAATTCCATTAAACGCCCGAAAACAGATCACATTGCTCGTTAGACAAAATAAGAGTGATTTGTTTGGCTCTCAGAGGAGAGAGGAGTGCAGAAAAGGGTTTTATAAGAACATAGGGAGCCATTGTTACTCTGACACCGTGTTGAAAACAGAGTTCGACCAATCCCTGAGCTCAGCCGAGGGAACTCTGGATTTGTTCTGTCTGGTAGGAAATGATAAGCTTGACAGAGCTCGATACCCAAGAGCTGCAGGCCCGACAGTGAGTGAGTGAGTGTGTGTGTGTGTGTGTGTGTGTGTGTGTGTGTGTGTGTGTGTGTGTGTGTGTGTGTGTGTGAGGTAGACAGGATTAGAGCACACCTCTGTGGGGACAGGATGCTGTGAAGTGGACCATGGCTGAACAACAAAAAAACTACATCAATCGCTTTTAAAAGACCACAGCGGCTTTCAGGAAAATCCAGGTAACACACCACACAGAGCCACATGCAAACACACAAGCACATACATCCTTAACTTAACCAGTGATAGATGAAAACTAAAAATAGTTACACTGCTAACCATGTGTGTGTGTGTGTGTGTGTGTGTGAGGTAGACAGGATTAGAGCACACCTCTGTGGGGACAGGATGCTGTGAAGTGGACCATGGCTGAACAACAAAAAAACTACATCAATCGCTTTTAAAAGACCACAGCGGCTTTCAGGAAAATCCAGGTAACACACCACACAGAGCCACATGCAAACACACAAGCACATACATCCTTAACTTAACCAGTGATAGATGAAAACTAAAAATAGTTACACTGCTAACCAAAACACAAACAGCTCAGCTCTTTTCAAATTCTAAACAGTCTAGCTTGATTTATTTTTATTTGTCCATCTTAAAAATATATCGAACCTATCAACCTATGCTCTCAATGACAAATGCATTTATGACCTCAAGTTTATTATTGTAATGCTTTATTGGGCAGTTGCTCTGCGCGCTTAATAAATAAACTCCAGCTGGTCCAAAATGCAGCAGCTAGAGTTCTTACTAGAACCAGTAAGTACGTCCATATCAGCCCAGTTCTGTCAACTCTGCACTGGCTCCCTATTGAACAACAAATACATTTTAACATCTTACTAATTACTTATAAAGACCTGAATGGTTTCACTCCTCAATACTTGAGCGAGATCATATCGCATTATAATCCTTCACGTCCGCTGCGATCTCAAAACTCTGGACTTTTGATAATACCTAGAATATCAAAATCAACTTTCCTATTTAGCGCCCAACCTCTGGAACAATCTGTTTAGCGTTGTTCGGGAGGCAGACACACTCTGTCAGTTTAAATCTAGATTAAAGACCCATCTCTTTAACCTGGCATACACATAATACACTATCACATTTCTATAATTCAAATCCGTCACAATTCAAATCCGTTAAAGGATTGTTAGGCTGCATTGATTAGGTCAACCGGAACCGGGAACACTTCCCATAACCCCCGATGTACTTGCTATATCGTAAGAAGAATGGCATCTACACTAATATTAGTCTCTTTCATTCTTAATCCAGATCAGATGGTGGATCTGCACCTAGAGACGACCTCTACAGCCCTGAACGTCAGCGGAGACCAGGACAACTAGACGGCCATCGGCACAAGACCACGGGAACCAGACGAGTCCTCTGCACAATTTGATTTGTGTTGCAGCCTGGAATTAAACAATGCCATGCTGGTTTCTGCCGGCCATATAAGAACTGGCCCCCTGACTGAGCCTGGTTTTTTGCCATTTCTGTCACCAATGGAGTTTTTAGTTTTTTGGAGCTTAGTTGGGGACACTTAAGTTCTGGCAATATTGTCTGCTTGATTGCACAGACACCATTTGAAGAGAACTGAATTAAGCTGGATGATGACATCACTAAATCAACAATGAACTGACCTTAACTGAAAAATTGACTTCACTATTGTCCTCCTACATTATCTACACACTATTTTCATGTGTAACACTGTAAAGCTGCTTTGACACAATCTGTATTGTATAAAGTGCTATACAAATAAAGGTGACTTGACTAGACTTAATAGAATTACAACAGATTATATTACAATATAAAAAAATATTAATATTATTTATATTCATTTATATTTAATTTATTTCATTATATTATGAGTGTGGTACAATTTAACATATATTGCCCTCTTACGGATCTGTAGTTTTAAGTTTTGTGAGTGACTCTATTAAGCAACTTTTTTTCAAAATAGTAACGTGACTGTAATTTAAGTTCTTTACATTGAACACCTTGGTGAACTGCACTTTAAAAGTTGCTTCCCCAACCCTGCATTCTAAATTCACACACAGGCTTCTAAAGAAATAAAGAAAATAAGTCATTGTGCAAAGAGAGAGATGACCCTCTAAAAAAAAAATATATAATATGTATAATATGACAATTCCATAAAATACAGGCCTGAAAATACAATAACAAGTCCTCACCGCAGCAGAATCAATCTACATAAACGCACTCTACTGAACATTTTATCCTCACTGTCTCTTTCTTTTCATCTGTTATCTTTTAGATGAGTACCGTCTATCTGTCTTAATCTCTCTGGGTACATGATGGGTGTCTAAATGAGCTGACAGCATCTACTAGCTTATCTGTTTTCTTTTGCCTGATCTGTGCATATTTCGTACAACGCGACCAAATACAAAAAAAGCATTGCAAGTATCACAGACCACAACGGAAATGTTTCAAGGGAACCCCAACAACCCTTACGAAATGTATCCATGGTTTTATTATAGTAAAAGTGCAGTAACCTTTTTTTGGCATATTGATTACCATTTGTATAACCACAGTTGTACAAATACCATGGTTAAACTATGGTTAGTGTAGCAAAACCCTGATTAATTTGTGGTTACCATGGTTTAACTTTTTTGTTGTTGTTTTTTTCGGTTAATTATAACGTAGGGGAAGTTGTGAAAATTAGCTAGCCAGCTTACAAAATGTTTCACAGTTACACTAATTATGTATTTTGTCAGCTTATTTAGGCTAATGATAATCAAAAAGCTAATGAATCGTATGATCAGAATGTTAAAATGAACTAAAATTTCGCCTTTCAGAGCAGACATTGATAAACATGTCCCAGCCAGGTTCATCACTTGTTGCGTTTCCCTTAAACATTCCATTGAGGTCTGTGCATATTTACAGTGCGTTTCTGTATTTGGTCGTGTTGTGAGTATTTGCAGCGCATATCTGTATTTGCTCATGTTGTACGTATTTGCAGAGCGTTTTTTTAATTCGGTTGTGTTGTGAGTATTTGCAGCACATGTGTCGTCGTCAAACTGATGAAGATGTTTTCTTAATTTGTTGGTGTTTTTTTCTGTTTGCATGTGTTTTTTCATTTGCTCTTGTTTTTTCATGAGCTCTCTCGGCCACCGTATAAATGGGGCAAAAATGATTGAAAAAATGCCAAAAGAGCCCTAAAAGTCAAGAGGAGCTCAACTAAATGTGTAAAGTTTGAGGGCATTTGTGCATGCGCTCCATGTCTTACCCTGGTCTGAGAGGAAGTCCAGCATGGTCTGTAGTAGAAAAGACAGATGTCTGACAGACAGTCCTGGGTTTCCCATACGACGAGACGCATAAACCAGCTCATGAAGCAACCGTAACTGTACTGCCGCCCACCCACGATGGGTTCCTACAAACAGAGAGGAGGAGAAATCATTTAAACACACACAAAACAACACTTTTGATGGATTTAGTTCACATGAGCCTTTTGTGTTTCCACCTTCAGACTGTATTCTTTTTTCTTTTTTTACCCTCTTGAAAGTTAATGTTAATCGACTTTTCTTATAAAAAAAAAAAAAAAAAAGTCATAGCTTAGTTTTCCAATTTTCACCAGTCTGTTTTTGTTCCTGTACTTTTAAGACTTCTTGACACTACGGCTCAGTCTGCTAGTGCCTAAAGTTTGTCTATATGAAGACTGTTGAGCACATTAAATACTTGACAGAGTAGCTCATCCAACAATGAAAGTCATCATCAGTTATTAAACTTTTAGAACATATAAAAGTTTGGAGTTGGTGAGATTTTGTACGTTTTTAAAGAAGTCTCTTCTGCTTTTCAAGGCTGTATTTATTTGATCAAAAATACCGTAAAAACGATATCTCTATTTGAATATATTTTTTAAATGTAATTTATTCCTGTGGTCAACGCTGAATTTTCAGCATCATTACTCCAGTCTCCAGTCAGTGTCATGTGATCCTTCAGAAATCATTCTAATATGCTGATTTGCTGAGAAAGAAACATTTCTGATTTTTTTTAATTAATAGAAAGTTCAAAAGAACAACATTTGTTTGAAATGGAAATATTTTGTAACATTATAAAAATTTTTACTGTTCAATTTTATGCATCCTTGATTAATAAAAGTATTACATTTCTTTCCAAATATATCTTAAAGACCTCAAATGTGACCACAAACCAGTCATAAGGGTCAATTTTTGGAAATTGAAATTCATACATCAGCTGAAAACTGAATAAATAACAAGCTTTCCATTGATGTGTGGTACTATATCCCATAATTCTATGTGCTAAAACAAGAAGAAATCATTATTCTTAACTTCCCCTTGTTCACTAAAAGTTTAAGACATATTTAGTTAAACATGCATTTAAAGTGTACATTTCTACATATGGATGCAATTTGCTTAAAGGGGTCATATGATGTTGCTAAAAAGAACATTATGTTGTGTATTTGGTGTAATGCAATGTGATTATGTGGTTTAAGGTTAAAAAAACACATTATTTTCCACATACTGTACATTATTGTTTCTTCTCTATGCCCCGCCTTTCTGAAACGCGTCGATTTTTACAAAGCTCATCGGTCTGAAAAGCGAGGTGTACGCTGATTGGCCAGTTATCCAGTGCGTTGTGATTGGCCGAATACCTCAAGCGTGTGACGGAAATGTTACGCCCCTACCATACTGTGATGCCGTGTACCGGTGTAGTGCCGAAATTTGCACCCTGCCAGATTATGCATCCCATAGTTTTGGTAGGTTTAGGAGTAGATGTGGGGGAGGGGTTAAGATTAGGGGTGGGGTTGGGATTAGGCAATCAGGTAGCAACTTCAACGAGGGGGTGCATAAACTGGCAGGGGTGCAGAATTCGGCACAACACCGGCGCGACAACACCAATAAAACCCATTACAAACGAGGCATTTGTAGCATCCAGTGGGGACATAATTACTGATTATAATGACTTATACTGTCTTTTTACGTGTTGCGTTGCGTATAGCGCCGTGTAAACATAAAACCATGTCTGAATATTTTGGTTGAACTGTTCTGGAACAGTGTTGTAAATACAACTTAACCACTGATTTCTAGTTGTGTCCTCTTTTGGAAGGCCAAACAAAGTAGTTTCGCTTTCACAACGAAACACACAGCGTCACACACGGCGGGCTTGAGTGAGCCGGCCAGCGGGCTTGAGTGAGGAATGGCCAGCGGGCTTGAGTGAGGAATGGCCGGCGGGCTTGAGAACGGCGCAGCTGGCGGATTCAACGAAGGAGCGCCCGGCGGGCTTGCGGCAACCACATGTGAGGACCCCGGGCTGGACTCCGCTTCGTCCACGGTGAAAGCCGATCCGGCAATCCACAGCGTGAAGTTGATGTATTTCCTCAGCGACCAGCACGGATCAGCTCCAGGCATGACGAAGCAGATATCATACTCTTTTGGAAGGCCAAACAAAGAAGTTTCGCTTTCACAATGAAACACACAGCGTCTCCACGACATGGCGGCGGCAACAACAATACTACAGCGAGAATAAAAGTTACGCCTTCTTTCTTGTGTGAACATTTGGGCGATGTTATGCAAATCTTCCCACGAAGTATAATGCGAACAGGCCGCTGAGTCTCCAGGAAGCATTTTAAAGTTCTCCACGATCTGCTGCAGTTCTGTGTTCAGTCTTTGTGTTCTCACTGGACTTTCTAAATCCCTGTGCACAATGGTTGAGCTAAACGCAATCAATCAGAGGTTGATGATATATTCGCTCTCTCTGTGCGTAAAGAGAGCTGAGATCGAGAACTCCCAGGCCAATTAAAAACCCATTTTCTCTTCTCTCTCTGCACTCCATGGTGTCTCTATTGACCCAAGCCCTCTTCTCTCTTTCACATAAAGCTTCAGTAAGCCAGGGTCACCCTTCAGCTTCAGCGGACACACGCGAGGGGTCTCCATCACCTCCTGCTCTCAATGGCATCACCCATTCAATACAATAAGCACATTAAATCAGTTTTGTCTGACATAATATAGAATGAAGATGAAAGAAGAGTAAATATATCTAAATGATGGAACGGCTGGGTCTGCATTGAGACAGCACTCATAAATCTTACTTCAAGTCCATGTGAAACAAAAATGACTATTTATTTTCCTCATAAATGTCGTTTGTCTTATTGTGCCTAATTCATCAGTGCTCATTATTCAAATCTTTTATCAAAATGCAATAACATTTTCTGCCTTTGAACTAATGACTTTGCTGACAGAATCAACAATGTGTGGCAACTGGCAAGAGAAAACATATATATTACCTAACTAACTGACCAAGCAGAACTGTGAAAAACTCAGTGTCACGATGCCTGAGTGCTGTGGGTGGTTGCCAAGGTGTTGCTATGCATTTGCTAAAGACTGGAATACACTACATGACTTTTAAAATTGGAACAGATTTTTAAAAACCCCAGGCATCATACACTTACCGACTTTGTAAATAGTGACAAAGGAAAACTGGCCATCATACACTAAACGACTGAGGATCACACACTACCAGACTTTCAAGTTGTTCCGATCACAACAAACTCAGGCAGAAACGTGCGCCTTGTTGTTAGGAGACGCGTGACAAATGAAAACAACATGTGTTCTAAAATCAGCTGAAAATAGCAAACATGTTTGATATCCTCCGACTGGATGGAATCATAGTCTGAAGCTAAAAAATCGGAGTCTGAGACCATCATACACTACTCGATTTTCTATGGAATCTGTCAACTCAAATCTGCAAACTGACTCTGACTTTCAGCAACAAGCTTCAACTTCTCCAGAT